AAGGTGGCGATATTACACCGTTTGATTCATTTTTAGAGTTTAATTTAAGCTGCAATAGAGTGTCAGGGTGTGACACAAAGGTACAGGTATATTAAGGACAGGTTGTTGGAGACATGGCAGTTTACTGGGGGGGCGGCTGTGGCTTAGTGGTAGAGTCAGTCATCTCTCAACCAGAAGCAGAGGAGCTGTTTGTCAATGAGCAAAGCAGGCAACTGCTTGGGGCCCCAGACCAGTGGGGGGGGGGCTGGCAAATTTTAAACCCTAGCAAAGGCTCAAAATTTGCAAATTTTGCAACAACAGTATACTGTAAACCTCCCTAAGCGGGCCCCATCTGACAGCACTCCCTCTTGTTGCTCTGCTAAGTGTGGAATGAATTTTTGGCCCCACCACTGACCAGAAGGTCTGGGGTTCAATCCTCACTTCCTGCAGCCACAAGTCCGATGTGTCCTTGGGCAAGACACTTAACCCCAAGTTTCTCCTGCTGCTTTATCTGCGGCTTATGAGTGTGTATGAATGGATGAGTTACTTCTGATGAACTCTTTACTCAGCAGCTTCTACCATCAGTGTGTGAATGTGTAGGTGTGAGCTGCTGGGAAAAAGCAATTTGAGTAGTCAGAAACAAGTTTACCATTTACTCCTCAAGCACTGCCAACGTGCCTAAGCAAGGCACTGAACCCCCAGCTGCCCCTCACTCTGACTTCTCCCCCTTAATGCATGTGTGTAGGTCCTGTTTGTGCTTTAAAGCCAACATGTTGTTCCAAAATAACAGAGTGAAAAGTTGTTATGAAATATAGATCAAAAGATATATTTTTCCTAAATATTCAATTAAGCAGGGTGTTTTTTTTAGTTGCTTTGGGCAGAAAAGAGTCCAGTGATCACTCACTGCTGCTCAGAGAGCTTTGCACTCTTTCAATGCTCATGCTTGATGAGCACATCAACATTTTAATCACATGGATTTTGGCAGCCTGACAGTCGGAGGAAACTGCTTATTGAGATTTTAATGAATAAATCAAAACTTTAACTGCAGATATTGAAGCTGAGTTCATGACATCCATACTGACTTTTCTCCTTCACAGTTATCCAGAGAGGCTTCAAACTCCAGAAATGAAATCAGGAAGGAGCGAGGAGGGGGAAGTATCCTCAGCCATCCTTCACATGCAGCCTGCAGCTTGACGAACTTATTAACAATACTTCCATGTGCCTTCATCGGATACATTTCCCTTCAGTGCAGAGTCATCATTCTCCACCTCAGTCTCTTATTTCTTGAGACCAAGACTGATTTCGAGAACTGCAACACTACTGAGTTCCTTTCCCTGAGATCCTCGTGAAAACAACTCGAATGTATTCCTTATCGCGGGAAAACAAAATTAAATAAAATGTAATGATGCATGTCCGCTTAGGGCTTCCGTAGATATTCACACAGAAAAGAGAACTAAAACATTTCAATGCAATTATTAAACCAAGTGTCAGATTTTCCAAAAGTTCTCCACATTACAAAACAGCCAGACCAGGCTCGACCTCAGATTATAAATTCTGACCACTTCACAGTCAAGTGGACACAAGACCTCAGGACTGACCTCAGCTGTGACTTCACCTGGGGGGGTCACAGCTTCCTGAATGTTATCCTTCAAACCGGGCGAGACATATGTAGGACCTGGCTCTGAGGTCAGAGGTCACAGTATATCACAGAGCCTGTGTTCCTCTTTTTGTTCCGAGGAGAGCTGCTTCAAGGTTGGACGAGACATGAAAGGAGCAGGAAGGGAACAGTGGCAGAAAACACGGAGAGATTAGAAAAGCAAACATGTGGTTTTAAAGTTCCCACCTTGAATAAAACATACAACGCAACACCTGATGTTATCCACTTTTATATTTCTTATCTCCGAGCTAAATGCCAAATTGCTTCTGTTGTGTTTCCTGCTAATGAAACCTGAAATGATAAAGTGTTTTCCCTCCGGTCTCTCGTATGAATGAGGTAAAAGTCGGCGGCGGCGGAGGCTCAAAAATAAACATGCATTATCGCACAATGGTGGATGAAAATGTGCCCACAAGTCAAAGCCCCTAAAGTCGGTTATATAAGCCTTCAAAATCTTCTGAGTCTCCCCAGCTTGATGTGTTTAGGCCTGATGATTGCTTTCAGTTGTTCGGCCTCACTGGGAAAGAAGGAGAAACAGAAACCGTCACATTTTTCCTAACACACACACACACATACACCAACACATGCATCAGTGGTATGGCAGCGAACAGAACAGACCCTTTTTTTCCAGGGGGGGAGGAATGTCAGCATGTGTGTTTGGGGATATTTTCTGTTTTATGGCTGTTTTCTCAGAGATGCCAGTGAGCTCTGTGGTGAGCTGGGCTCCGGTCCCGGCCTCTCTACTTCCAGTCTGTCCACACGGGCAGCAGAAGATACCAAACCAGACATAGCTCCTTATCCACTCACCACAACTTAATAAAAAGACGACATGATTCTGTTTTCTTTGTGTTTTTTTGTGTTCCTGCAGAGCTCGTGTTCATGACACTTTCAGTCCCGCTCTCATGGCAGGACGCTGCTATCGAATTGCTCTAAGAATATCCAAAGAAAAAGTCATGTTTGTTTTCTGTTTGGAAACGAAAAGGATTTCATTACATGGAACGACACTGGTCATGTAATTACTTTGTAAGCTGTTCTGTACTGACATGTCCAAAAGAGAGCACATTCTATTATTATAAAAGTACGGAAGCCCTAAGCGGACAAGCATCCACACATTTGATTACAGCCCCTGTGAGGAGCGCTCATTTACTGTAGGTTTTCATGACACTTTGGATGAAATTGTGTTTCACGTCTTTCCAGGATGAGGACTACATTTCCCAAGAGCACCATCCCCCAGTGTCTTAAAGATGGGGCTCTTGTCAAAGTGTGCATTTGGGTTTGCAGCGAGTGGGTGGACTATGCATCTTCTTTTTGAAACTACTTTCTTTGATGTGCAAACATTTTTCTTTTCAGGATGCAAAGCAGTGAGGTAATGTATGAATATGTGAATATGTGGTTATTAACAGTAAGAGAACGATGAAACTTTGTAAAGTCTGGTTTAGTACCAGACGTTTAATTACTAATTTACACAATTAATGAAAAAATAAACGTATTGAACTCAGTATGCAAGCATCAGAAAAAAAAACAGACTCAAAGGGGTTTCACACTTGCAGTAAAAAAAAAAAAATCAGGATATTTCCAGGAGGAGCTGCATGTGTGAACGCAAACAGACGCATTTTTTGACCTGACTTCACCTGGAGTCTCTCCTGCCAGACCCCCTAGTATTTTTTCCTCAGCATGTCCGAGTGAGTTGATGTGAGAACGCAGCAGGATGTAATCAGGAGAATTCACCTTGAGCGAGTGGGAGTGGCTGGTGACGTTTCTTCTTTTTTTTTTACGTCACGTCTTACCTCAGGAGACCCCCGCCCCCCCCCCCCCCCCCCCCCCCGTATGACAGGGATAGTCTCCAGCTGTGAGGAGCATATGTGAACAACCAGATCAGGAGGCTATCAGGAGCAGTCCTCCTAAAATCATCTAGATATTTTCAGGACGGTGTATGTGAAAACGGCTTCAGTGTGCAAAGGCCTTAAGAGTGAGACTGTGTCATGGTCACCTCAAAACTCCTTACATGGAGATTTAAGATCTAGATATAGATCTAGAGTCATTTTAGCATCTCCACTGATGAAGCACAAAACCAACATCATTAGTGTGGGCACGGGGTCTGCACTATCACAGTGACCAGCCCATCGTATTGATTTCTCCATCGCCGTTATCAAAAGAAAACAAGCTTTGTTATCCAAAAAACAACGATCGATAATGAGACGAATTCATCCACCAATACCAGCTTTGTTGTCCTGAGATAACGAGAAAAATAAGTAGAGATCTTGAGAGATTCTCGGAAATTCAGTCATTACAGGAGGGAATGCCTGATGGAGGGAATCCCCCACATGGAGAAGAAAAGGCTGACAGATGTGAGAGGAAAGCTTGTGTGTGTACTTGTGTGTGTGTGTGTGTGTGGCTGATATGAGAGGAAGGTGAAGGTGTGTGTGAGAGGCAGATGTGCAGGGTAATAAATCGACAAGATGTTTATCAAGAATGCTGTGCCCCCCCCCCGCCTCTGGATCAGTGTGAGGGGTTTGTGATGGACTTCTTCAAGATATAATACAGATCGTTAGGAACGGGGTTGTCCAAGGCCGCCCTTAGCAGGGGGGGGGGGGGTTTCTGCACCAGGCTGCATGAAGGGCTCCATGGAGGTCAGCAAAAACATAATCCATCTTATATTTAAGCAATCATAACCACATGTTGAACCCTTAATACACTTTCTTATTAAAGGAAAAAAATATATACTTGTTATTTATTGTTTCGAAATGTAAACAGCCTCTTAAAAGTCTTCCTCTTTCTTTCTTCTCACAATGAGATTCACTAGATGAAGCATACATGATATTAATGGTGCATATTCAGATTATATTCTCTATTAATTTAGAAAGGCTAACTGTGTCCCCGGCTCCCTTTCTTTATGCTAAGCTATGCTAACTGTCCTATGGTTGAAGCTTAAATCCCTCAGAATATGAGAGAGGTCTCAGTTGTTTCATCTGACTCGGGGTGAGAAAGTCAATATGCGTCCCATGTTAAACGGTTTCCATGAAACCACAGCAGATTATACTTTAAAAGTGACATTGTGTCTTTTGTCATGTTGATTGAACAGATTAATTGATGCTAAGTGAGGTGATCACATGTTACTGTTTCCTGAAGCACACTAACAGACGCGTGTGTGAATCCACATCAGAGCCGAGGAAATCCTCCTTTACATCTCACTCATTGTTCAATGAAACACAGGATTCACTTTGGTTTGCAAGGGGGAGGAGGAAGGAGGGGGGAGAGGAAGGAGGGGGGAGAGGAAGGAGGGGCTGTTCCTTCTTGTCCCCTCCTCCTCACCCTCTAAATGTGAAGAAAAAAAAAACTTGACCAGCCCCCTTCCCATTCCCATGGATCGTGTTACGGGAGACTCCAACCCGAGACATCTGCTCCGCTGCTAACAACGGAGCGCGTCCCCGCGACCCAGACCTCCTCCTCCTCCTCCTCCTCCTGCTGCCCTCTACCCCACAATAGTGCTCTCTCCGTTACTCGTGTTAACTCGGTGATCATGAGGAGCCACGGTGCATGTGCCCTCCACCTTTTCCGGCTGTAGTTCACCCCCCGGCAGGAGTGCGCGCCTGCTCCATCCCTCCCGTGCGTCCGAGCGGAGAGCAGCGGCCCCCCCGGTGCCACCGAGCAGCACATTTCTTTTTGTCTGTGCGCTCCGCAGGCTGCAGGCTGCGGGCTGACGCTGATCATCCTCTCCGCTGACCTGACGTCTTTACGGGAGAGGACGAGGAAGAGCGCAGGGACGAAAACAACGCATCCCGATGTCTGATGTTTTGAAAACGCTCCAATAAGCGGATTTCTCCTCTGATTTCTCTCTTTCTGCGCGCTTTTGTGTTTGTTTTGTACACCATGGAGTCGGTGGAGAAGGAGTGTGGAGCGCTGGGTGGATTATTCCAGGCCATCGTGAACGACATGAAGGTAACACACATTCAAATCAAAGTAGAAAACAATCATATGTGACCTTACTGAAGCACCGGGGCTGATCACACGTATGTTTTTACTGCCTTTGTCTCTGTCACCGGGTCCTTCCCCCACTGGAAACACCGCTGCGGGACAAACTGAGGGATGAAACATGTTTCCCTTTGTGTTATTTGCATAATGTGCAGCAGGTCTGTCAGGCTATACTTTCATAACACACATTCAAATCAAAGTAGAAAACAATCATATGTGACCTTACTGAAGCACCGGGGCTGATCACACGTATGTTTTTACTGCCTTTGTCTCTGTCACCGGGTCCTTCCCCCACTGGAAACACCGCTGCGGGACAAACTGAGGGATGAAACATGTTTCCCTTTGTGTTATTTGCATAATGTGCAGCAGGTCTGTCAGGCTATACTTTCATTTGACAACACTTTGTCAATGTGCAGCACACGGCTTCTATCAGAGGAGTTTATTTATGTCACTTTGTTGAATGTGTTTGATTCATGGCTCAAACTCTGACGTCATGATTAGAGTTGGAGTAAAACTATTAATACTCTGAATCAAGAAAAAAAAACAAGAGAAGAGATATCAAACATGGAATATAGTTTTAATTTGGTGCTGTTATTTCTCAGTGTGATTGTTGTGGGGGCCTTTTGACCCCAAACAACTGTTTCCCCTCATCATCGACTGCAAGGTTTTGTTCTTTATGACATTTTAAACTCAGACTGATGCTCTGCAAGAGAAGAACCAGCTCCATCGCTTTAACTTTCCTGTGTATAAACCTTCATGAAAGGTCATGTGTCCCTTTTTTTAGTGATCGAATATTTTCTTTCAAGCCTGAAAAAACGTCATCGCTCGTCTTTGCCCTTACGTTTGTAAGCCCCCCCTCCCTCCCCCCCTCCAGCCCTATGGGACATGGGTGCAAATGTTTAGGAATATGAATGACTTTGAAAGTGAGCATGTAAAAACAGGAAAGAAAACATAAACAACACATAAAAACAAACAAGAAGATAAGAAAGCAGGAAGACAACATTTTGAAATGAGTGTGAAACAGAAGGCATCTCATGAAACATCTGTAAACAGTGGATGATGTTTTGTTTTTGCATGCACTGTTTCATATAACTACAGGACAAAGTGAACTATCCGGGTTGGAGCTTTTAAGATTTCCAAACAGTAAACATCATCAGTAAGATATCTCAACTTTGTATTGACCCCTACACCTAAAAGTACAAGTCGTTTCTCAACTTTAAACCACAGCAACAAAACCAGAAGCTGGAGTCACCCAATGTTGGATCATTTCCTGCTTTCAATGATCAAAAGTTGCAGACAAACTCCTGCATGCTGTCTGAATTGCTCTAAAACACTGGCAACATTTCAGTGCTCAGACGTTGCCAATGTTTTTTTGCAGGAGTTTGTCTGCATGTTTACGATTAAAGTACGACTGAAGATCTGTAGTTTTTTTGTTTTGTTTAAAGTTTCTGTATTTTTTTAAGCTATTTATCATTAAAGAGCAGGGATTCCCAAACATTTCAACTCGGGTCCCCCAAAATAACTGTGCTAGAGACCAAGGACCCCCACTGTCCATATTTCAGTAATTTATTGTAAGCTTTGACTTTGGGGTGACAAAAAAAATGTAACAGACACACCAGTGATGTCAGTGTGTTTTTTTTATTCGTAGGGAGCAACAGATGCCTTCACTGTTTAGTGCAAACTTCAATTCAAATTATTTTTGTATTTTTACACATCACTTTCATTTCAGCATAAATCGTACTCAACGACTGTTGTTGTATTTCAAATTCAACTTCTGTTTTTATTTTATTACAATAATGGTTGAACTATGTAGTTTAAAATAATTAGACTTTTTAAATTGTTTTTTTTAAAAGGCATCTATCGCCCCCCCCCCCGCCGCCTCAGTGTCTAACGACCCCCCAGGGGGTCCGACCCACACTTTGGGAACCACTGCCCCAGAGGATCGTTTTAGAACATGTGGTATTAAAGTATTGACAATTTTGACAACCTTTGGTAACAACTGATGTCATGTCTTGTGACAGAAATCTTCACTTGAGCTTTACCTTCTAAAACACGTGTTTGTGTGTGTGTGTGTGTGTGTGTGTGTGTGTGTGTGTGTGTGTGTGTGTGGGGGGAGGGGTCAAGAGAAGGAAGTTGAGGCAGGGTGGTCTGTTGTTGTTCGGGACAACAGATGGAAAGTGTGAACGTATTCATCAGAGCTCTGTCTCCTCAGTGTGGAGGTCGCTCAGGCCGCAAAGTGAACAAGTCAAGCATCACACAGCGGCTGATTCCTTATTGATCACTGCCTCACTCTCACTATTTATGGGTCCCTGCATGGAGCTATATCAGCTCCATCGGCTGGCTCGGTGTATTTTTTGTCTTTTATGTCGTGCTTAAACCCGGACACAGAGAGAGAGAGAGAGAGAGAGAGAGGGAGAGAGAGAGAAAGAAAGAGAAAGGGTGCTGATAGAAAGAGGCAGCGTATGTATTGATAAGCAGCGCTGATGAATGAGACTGAAGCCCTGAGTCAGCACAGTGTCCATGTCCACTGTCTGAGATCTGACCTCATTCCTGCCGCCTCGCTGGGCCACGCCGGCCTGTCAGAGCAGCTTTACCCCACTCCACCCCACGCCATGCACGGCTCAGCTTCCTGTGCTGATCACGCTGATTGTGAACAATGTTACAGTAAAGTGTACAATTAACTACATGAAGCACACACACACACACACACACACACACACACACACACACACACACACACACACACACACACACACACACACACAGCTCAGTAACAGCATTTTATAGACTGCACTCACAGAGGTTATTCTCAAACCATGTGTTTTAAAATGATACCATCTGTTATTTTAATGACCGTGAGTATCCAAAAGTGCTGAAGCTTTAAAACACTTCAGCTCTTCAGTCATATTTTTAACCAAAAGAGAGAGAGAGAGAGAGCACTGTTTGAGTTAATATATTTGTGCAGTTTGGACAGTGTGCAGGAGTTTGCCTGCAGGACGTCAGACGATATTGGTTGACTAGGATTTCTGATATTCTAGTCATGGTATGGAAACAGGTATGATGATAGTTTGATTTTTACTCGTATCGTATTGTGCTGGTACTGCGACCGCCCTGTGTGCAGACGGATGTGTTGATTGTAGGATGAAGTGAGGAGAGCAGGAGGTGATGGAAGAGGAGGTAAAGAAACGAGACATGATACTGGTTCTAGTAACTACTTGGATTAAAACACAATTTTTTAAGTGTTTTCAAAACACACTGAAGATGTGTGAGAGATGATGATCGAACCTGCGGCCGCTGTGACGAGGACTACAGCCTCTGTACATGGGGCGTGCATCATCACCACTAGGCTACAAGCGCCCTGACTTGAATTAGAAGTAAAACAGAATTTCAGAGCAAAATACACCGACCTCTGACTTTTTCGCTATCTTTGAGTGCTGGCACCGCGCTCTGTTGTTATGGTCACGTCATTATTTACCTGAAAACTGATTTTTCTCATGTGGGTGTGTGACATCTTTGTCTACCTGTGTTTCCACATCTTAGACAGTATCAGAGTCTAACAAACTCGAGGTATAGTATCGACTCCTCTCAAAAAGATGAAGTGTTTCAGCTGGTTAAGGTCGGAAACAGACGGTTAGTGTTGACACAATACCAGATTTTTAAACGTAGATATGGTTCTTGTAAAAATGAAACGATATTGGGGCGCTGGTGGCCGAGTGATTTGTTCGCACGCTTAATTTACAGAGGCCGTAGTCCTTGAAGTGGGCGACCTGTGGTTCAAATCCGACCTGTGGCTCCTTACCTGCAGGTTATTCAGCTCTCTCTCTCTCTCTCTCTCTCTCACATTTCCAGATCTGTCTACTGTCCTGTCTCTTTAATAACGGCATAAAAAGCCACCCAAAGAAATATTTAAAAAAAAAAGAAAGAAAATCACACGATGTTGATACATGCTCTGATACCATGGCAACAAAAACAGAAGCCCTAGACACTTTTTTTCATTTTGGGTTTTAAATTAACAAAAATTGAAGGCGAACTCATGCACGCTGAATAAAAGGGCTGATACGTTGTCATGTTTCAGGTATACAATCGTTGAAAACGTATTTGCAGAATTTAGACTTAGCTTTTAGTGAAAAATATGACATTTATTTAAGCATCTGTACTTTGATCATTAAAATAACAGAGTCTGCATCTTGTTATTGGAAAGTATCAACTCATTGAATGTTTGCACAACCCTTTGAAAGATGCAAACGTTGTGTTGTTGGAAGCATGTGTGCTTGGGAAATCAGCCACCTTCGGAAGTGTCCTTGAGCGTCACACTCGATGATGATGATAGTGTCGACCTCACCCACCTGTGAGTGACAAAGCATGGCAGGAAGAGCCTCCTTTCCTTCCTCGCTTCCTCTTTCTATCTCCCCTCTCCTCCCTTCAGAGCGCCCCCCCCCCCCCCCCCCCCGTTCCTTCTCCCTCCTCCCTCAGCTGTCTTGGCAGCACACTCGTCCAGCCTCTGGGAGTCACACGCCACACAAGCCAATTAGACACCTGTCGGAGTCAAGTGCAGACAGCGATGCAGGGAGGAACATTTTTGTAAGAATGGATGCGTCTTAAATCACTTCTCTGTGCCCGAGGCTTCATGCGGAGGAGGCCGGGAGTTGAACGCTGTCATTTCCACAATGAAGGTCACTGCAGAAATGATGAAGAGTAAAGTGGTTTTATATATTTAGCCGGGATGTGTGGCCGCAGGGGTTATGGCCTCCCTCCTCCCCTGCAGGGCCGGGCTGCTTGCTCTAATGGGATCCAGCCTTGAATGTGTTTTATGTTTGGCTCTCCTGGCTCAAGGCAACGTGTGATGATCCCGGGCTAAATCTAATCCAGATCGTTCAAACATCGGCCTGCCCCCTTCCCCCCTGTACAGAAACACAGCTTATAAAGACAGTGCATGTACAACAGACATGTAGGCACACATACCAGCTCAGGGCAAAGACCGAGAGAAGAGGGCGCTTAGGCTGATTGAGGACAATAATAACATAAGTGTGCGCTGAGAAATCACACTGACCTTTAGAGAGACAAGTCAGAGCACAGACTTTATTAACCGACCTGTTGGTAACCCCGGGGGAAGAAGCCAAGCTCTCTTTGAGTGATTACAACATTATGTGGATAACAACTCATCTTATGAGTGGATATATTAAGACAAAAATGCATTTATACAAAGTCGACATTTACATTTTATGCAGCTGTACCAGATGATGTCCCGTTGTAGAGAACATTATGTATTCTCAAAATGTGCATGCACAGAGTGAGTGTGAGTGTTTGAACAGATATCTCTGCTCAGTAAATGTTTATTCGACTCGTCTCTTTTTCCTTCTCTTATCAGAGCTCGTACCCGGTGTGGGAAGACTTCAGTGCCAAGGCCACAAAGCTGCACTCTCAGCTCAGGTAGGAGAAGTAGTCCCAGCTAACAAAAGAAAAAGGTCCTTGTGCAATATTTACAGATTCTTTATGCAGTCACAGTGCAGTGACCACGAGTCCATGTTTTCACAGGACCACCATTCTGGCATCTGTGGCCTTTTTAGATGCCTTTCAGAAGGTGGCAGACATGGCGACCAACTCCAGAGGTAAGTCCTTTTATTCAGCCTCACTCAAACTTCTCATGAGTAAAAACCAAAACATTAACCTTTTATTAAGCCAGACAATCACTATCTTCATGGGGTTTAGTTCAACTCTATCATTTGTATCTTGCTGGAAATGTTCTCTTGAATTTAAGTGTCTAAATTGAGGCTATGCACATCTTTTCCATCCTTTATAACACTCCAGGTTTTCTTGATATTTGGAAGGCTGTCCACATTGTGTACCCATGCTTTGGCTCATGCATGAACAACACGGGTACACAAGCACGGGTTGGAACAGTATGGATTATTTTTAAAGCTTCTGTACTTTTTTCCATAGTGTCAATCATAAATAAGAGAGATTGTGTCCTGTGTGTGGTATCCAAAATTATTAAAGGAGGAATACATTGGCGACCTTATTTAAAGCTGTTGATGGGTTATGTGTGTAATGAGGTGTGGCTATAGGATTATCAGGGACGACTGAGGCTGTGGTGGAGAGGCCCAATGTGAGATCTGTTCATACCGCCCAGATATCCTGGAGACAAAAGCAAATGAGACCGTGCAGAAGGAATCAGACTGTGTTTTTTATGGACAGAATCAGCTGCCACCAGGTCGCTGTGAAACTAAGCCATGTAGAATCAAAGTGCTTGTGTTGACTTTTACCACTGAAAGCTTCTCAATCAGAGCTGTGTTTGAGACTTAAAAGAAGCATGATGAGATTTTAGGTCAAAGTTCCCACAGCAGCTCCAAGTAAATGATATTCTTTCAACACATTTGTGTGTTGCAGAAATGTATTTGGAGCACAGCATGCCTCCCCGAAGACCTATTTTAAGAAGGCCAAAAAAGGGGGAAGGGGGGGGGGGCGGTTGCAGCCCAGAGAAGTGAAAATCTGAGCTTATTGTTTCTCGGGTCTTAATGAGGTCTGCTGATCTGCTTTGTCACCCTGAGAGTGGCAGCAGACCGACCGACCGACGAGTCGAGGCGAGGCGGCTGATTAACACAGATTTCTTCAGAGTCGATCGTAGAGAGCAGAATGTAGGTCAAAAAAAGATCTGTGAGCATGGAGCAGTGTGCAAAGGCTCCTGAGAGACACACACAGATGCACACACACACATGCACAGATATTCAGCGAGTGACAGCTGGTAGCCGCTCACCTGACCCCGCAGGTCACATGCCAACATGCTTTTCAAACAGTTTGTTCCTGCACAGCCCTTTACCGCTGGAGAAAATATCTGAAGGGGCATTTGTTCACACATTCTCACCAGCTTTACTCCAATAGGCTACTCTGTAACCGTGGAGCTTATCACCATGGCGATACTTCAGTTACCTTAAATGATTCCTGATGTGGGTGCAGTTCTTTAAGATGAAGCGAGGTGGACCGGGGTCAGCCTGCTCGCTGCTGGCAACCCGCTGTAATAAAAGCCGAGGTGCAGACGGTCAGGGAGGACTTCAAAGTCTGCAGTAAAAAGATGAGAAAGATGGAACAGAGAGAGAGAGGAGGCCATATCCAGTTTTACTGCCATGGATGCATAAAATCTCTGTAAGTGTGTCACTCACACACCCACTCACTCTTCAGTGCTGTGCAGGGACATTAACTTCAGGATTAATGTCATCCTTCTCAGGACAGACTGAGAGGGAGGGATGCTGGGACACCATGTGCTGATCAAAGTTTGTCACAACTGAAGAGAAGCTAACGACACACAGTGTAGACCAGATGATCAACTGATGGATGACAATCAAAACATGATACTGTCATCACATCCAAATGTTCAACATTTCATAGTTTCAAAATCTCCCCCAAAAAATCTACTTTTATTATTTTTCATGATTGTGAAGCCAAATGTGTCTGCTTTTTAGACATGCAGGCTCGGCTTCAAGGATGGCACTATACTGTAGTTTGTTGTTTTACTCCTAAACTGATGACTGGATTTCAATCTGTTGCTGAGGGAGATGGTTTGTGACTGATTTGTTGCCTTTATGTCGTTTTCAAACATGCACAAAACTCCTGAAAGGAGGGGAGCTGCATGTGTAAATGCAAATCATGAACTATACCCTGATTTGTTCCTTCCAGCCCCCTTGTGCATGAGGTTTGGGTGAGCTGCATGTGTGAACTCAACAGGAAATATTCAGGGAAATCACAGTGAGCGAGCAGGCAGGGGTGAAGATGTGAATATTATGTGTCTGACGTGCAGCCGTTGAGATCTCCGGCACGTAAAGAAGCGGCTTTATTATATTTTCTGTTCGCTACACTCTTAACCAGCAGAGCTCCATGTCAGTCCCTCCTCTCCTGCGGGAGCCGTGCTAGTCTTTGCATGCTCGGGACCCCAGCAATTAATTAGACGAGAGGAATGTCGATATTTACTGAGCTGGCTCATGAAGAATGACCTCTGACCTCCTGGCTGCAGGCTCCAGTGACATAGTTTAGTTCAAATGTGTCCTTGTGGCAGCTGAAATGTTAAAAGTCCTTCCCCTAAAACATGTTGGCATGCAGATGTTTCACTCTCTCAGCTTTAATTTGCCAAAAAAATTTGGACTGGTCAGGAGGCAGAAATAAAGAAATATGATTTATTGACAAATGGTCACAGTGTATGTGTTTGTTTGGGTTTGTGGGTCTGCCTGCAGCGATCCTGTCTGCCTCAGCGTCCGCACCTCCACACAGAGCTGATTGCACCGCAGGGGGCAGACCCTCGGATATGTACTGTTGGCCGTCATCCCTGTCACCCTGATTCCCCTCTCGTGTTGGGGGTCGGGCTGCAGCTGCTGGCACAGCTGGAGGTGTCTCTGCGTTCTTCTTCTGCCTCTTTTAATCTACCTTTGACACACTCACCTTGTCTCTCCTTTTCACCCTCACGCACTCTGCAGACTCTACACGCTTCTCTGCCAAGGAAAGCAACATTTCCTTCATCCAGGGTCTCTTTATTGATCCACAGAGAGCGAGCGGACGATGAATGAAAGAGGATTTTACAATTTCTTAATAAGGCATGTACCTCTAGCAGCTGAATCTAAGACCTCTGTCTCGTCCAACCTCCTCTCTGTCTCTGCATGTTCCTGTGTCAAGCTGCCTGGCTCTGCCTTCATGTTCAGGCTTCCTCTCGCTGTGTTGTCCTTTTTTAGAGTTTATGGTCACAGTCATGGCGTCAGCGTCTGTGTTTTATGAAGCAGCTGGAGGAGTCGGCTGCCAGCCGTTTTGGCAGCGTGTCTGACAGCGCTGTTTCTGTAAGCTACGTTAATAGATCTATGTCCAAAGACACGTCTGTCTTTGTGAACTGGCAGCTTGCATCTGGGTTTAATAAAGTCCCGCTGACCACAAAGTCTACATATGATGACTCTACATGGAGAATTTAGACCCCGTTCAAGATAAATATTTAACTTTTCAACACCCGTCTTTCCTGAGGCCGTGCAGCTTTCCGCAGTTTGAATGTCAGATTGGTCATCTTAATGGTTTTGGTGTGTTGTCTGGACTGTTTTGTTGAATTGTTGTGTGATACATTTGAGTATCTAAGATGTATCTGGAGAAAAGCGGACTGTGTTGCTGTTTGCTGTTTTTGTTGCTAGGCTGGATAACATGTGTTTCAGCGGACTTCATTTTCTCCATTTTTGGACATGCTCGGATTAAATTTGGGTCATAGAGTATGAGAGAGTTCAGAGCTAATGGTCCATCAGCATATGAGATACAGGCTCTGTATTTTTCGGAGGGTGAGGTGAGTGTAGTGGGTGGGTGGTGGGTCGGCCAGGGTGGGGGATGTGGTTGCAGTGGGATTTCCACAGCTCTGGGTATCCAGGCAGAGGCAGAGGCGTTTAGCTAATCCTCTTAGCCCCACTCTGTAACACACAGACACAGACTGCCTTCTCTCCTCCTGATCAGCCAGCACAGATTTAAAAAGTCACACTCTGGGATCAGTGTGCAGATTGAGACGCAATGAAGTTTGTTTCCACCTTTTTCTGTCTTTACACGTGTGTGCCAGAGGCTGCAGACTGCACACACCATCACACACAAGCAGACAAATGTCCCCGTTAGTCGGTGCACTCTCTCTCCTGGTCGCTCTTTCTCTCGCCCTGTGCAGGAATGGAGTTGTGTTAGTAGATCAGTGTCTCAGCGAGGCCGTAATCTGCTTGGCCCCTGCGCTTCTCGGGGTTGGCAGATGGGACGGATATCCCTACCCGCCATCTGGACGGCCTGGCATGGACGAGCTCTGGCCTAGTGCGGGGCCAGATCAGGGGATTACTGTCCTCCGCTGCTATCCCGGCAGCGCAGCTATTTTTACGGACATGTCGAATAATGAGAGTGTGCCCATGTGACCGGCGTTGACATCCATCAAGCCTGGCATTTCATGTTCAGGCCTGATATGTATTGTACTTAGTGTGCAAGGACATCTGCGTGTTATGTGTGCTTGACTTAGTAACAGGAGCTTATGGATTTGAGTTTTTTAGATTGAACATACACGCATAGTGGGCAGAAAAGAGACACTGACTACCCACTGTACCAGGGGCCCCAGTGGAGGAAGGGGCCCTTACTGGGCCTGAAATATATCTGTATAGTCGTAGTTTGGATTTGTTCCTCTCTAAATGTTTTAAATTTGTAGATTGCTCTGGATTGGTTTTCATGGGGAAATAAAGAAAGGGTACGCTGTGCTAAAGTGTCACTGTGTTGTCTGATAGTCTTAAACGCACCATCTCTGAGGTGCGCACAGAGTGTGTGACGTGTCGCCTTTAAATGACATAACCAGACTTAGGTGAAGTGACCGCAGCTGAGAGAGAACTGAGAAGATGAAGACACCCACTGGCAGAAGAAACACTCTACCATACTCGACCCCTCTGAACTTCAATGAAAACCAGTGTTTATCTTCTGATGGGAGCCAACCAACCAAACTAAAAACTGAAGCTGCAGACGAGAAAAACGTGCAAACAACATGTTGCTTTTTTCTTTCTGAGGTTGCTTTGTTGTCTCTTTGGTGCCTGTTTTGACTTAATGTACATAAAGTGATGCAAAACAAGATCAGGAGTCTGTA